CCCCATGTGCCCTGCACAGCCCCCTCTCACGCTGCCTTTGGCACTCAGATAGACATAGCCTGGCACACCTGGCCAGCAGCAACAGCCTCAATGCTACATTCCCAAATCAGGCTGCCAGAACAGAGGCTCTTCCATCTCCTTCAAGCAATCATCCATTAAAAAAACTCAGGACAGCTGTCTTGACTTCCAGAACACAACTTTTCTGAGAAGCTTACACCTATCTCTCCTTTTATTTCAYAGCTGAAGAAAGTACTGTCCATCTTTTACCCTCCTTCTGCTTAACAGTTAAGCTACTCCAATTTTTATTTAGTGTGCAGATTTGTGACCACATTACAAATACTTTCTGAAATAAAACCAGACATGTATTTTGGGCCCAAACTAGGATTTCAACAAAATTATCARAACCAGTGCAATAGCACTTTAAAAGACCATCACTGTAACCTCCTGGACAGAATAATTTTTTTCCATCTTGCACTTGCAAGCTACAATCTGCARGTACRTTTTTTTTCCCCCTAGTATTACATGGAATACAGATAAACATTTTAATCACAGCTGCAACTACAATTTTTTCAGTCTGATGGGAAAATTCCTATCCATATATTTTTCTTTACTTCGAGGAACCTCACAATGGARAATGTTTGGATACTGAAGTATACATTTATGTATAAAGAAAGTTGGTATTCAGGCTAAATAATTTCCTGTAAAAGTGAACTTTTAAGCCCAGATAAGTGAGTTTTCAGAAGTCATTCTGTGGAACAAAGATGCCATCCAGTGGTTGTCTAGATTGATGATTGCTGCCTATCTTTCCCTTTTCATCAGAGCACAGTATTTAACAATTTCRTATTTCCTGGCATGTATTACTATGYCCATCCTAATTCTACTGTTTCATTATGTATTTCTGGTTTTTACTGAATTAAATTGAATCTCATAAGACGAATGTAGCATTCCAACAACATGATATTTTTAAGACAGCGTGAGTTCTTAAACTCTCTCCAAATACTAACTATACCTTAAAATAGTCCAAGAGTCCAATTCTTCCTCCAATATTCAACCTCTTGTAACATCTATCCCTTTCCTCTTCATTAAAAACACTCATGAAATTACAAACAAAAAAATCTTATCAGAAAACAAGTAAGAAAGCCCAAAATATTTGCACAGTTATCTGTTAAAGCTTTCAAAGATTTTGCCTAAACCAAGGCAAGCTTTTATAAAAATCTGGTGGCATTCTTTTTATGAACAAATCTTAATTCTATGATTGTACAGTTTTTCTTTCTCATGCACTTTGTCAGATTTGAGCCAATGCTGTCTCAAACTACAATACTGAACTGCTCCCAAATAAACCAGAGGAACACACAAAGCAATTGAGGCAACTCTATACTATTGATTCCCCTCTCTCTTACAAGGGAAATTCATGTTATTAGGACAAAGTCACCACATGCACGCAGGATTCTGAGAAAATCTACAGATWCAATGGACCACATGATCAGAGACTTAYACAGCACATTGGATATAAATGGTGACTTGAAATTACTGGAAGAGCCACTGCTGTATTATATTTTACAATGGCATAAATTCTATTTATAAATTAATTATAATGTTTATTCTGACTTTGATGCTATAATTTGAAATGTCTCCTTAATACTACTTTATCCCACAATTCATTTACGTTCTACATGGAATCTTCTCCCTGATAAGTAAAAGGGATGACAGAACAAGCCACATTTATGGTCAGCATTTTTCTTTATTTTGAAATATATGGAAAAAACACGGTCACCTTATAGCTTGAAATACTAATTTGGAAAACAAAAAAACCTTCAAGGGTAAGGTTTWGTCACATACCATTTTGAGATGAGAACTTTGAAGTTATCCGTTTAACACCTACATTAGCTTTCTACCACTTCAAGGGCAAGTTACTAAGTCTAGACCTCTGGTTGCAAAACAAACAGAAAATTTACTAAATTCAATTTTCTGTCCTTAGTTATTAACATGGTYGAAAAGTCAACTAACCAGGGTTGTCTGTAGTTCTCTCTGAAAAATTCAGCAACAATAWATTTTAATACCAAAAAGGTGACCTMAAATTTCATTAGCACAACTTCACATTGCAGAAGTGTTGTGTTGAGAACTCTGCATCACAGAACAGCCACTGTAACAGTGAGCTCCTGTAAGCAGCCTTAAGAGTTCATTAATAAATGCTGACCTTAAAGGCATAGCTGCAATCTGCAAAAAATTCTTAATTGCTAGATCTTTCATGTCTTGTATC